CTCTCTGAACCTCAACTTTCTCACCTATAAAATGGGGTAACTGATGAATGTCCTCCTTGTGGGACTGTGAGGGTTAAGTGAGCTAGCATGTGCAGTGGACTGGCCCGCGTGGCACATGGCCCCGTGCCCGGTGAGGCAGGGGGAGACTGTTAGCACCTCTAACCAAGGGCAGAGATACCGAGTAGGAACACCCAGGGGCCAAGGAAAGGGGCTCTTTCTCGTGAGCCTTCTCTCACCAGCAGACAGCACTCCAAATGGGGTTGGAAACGCATTGGAAAAATTGGCCAGAAAGAGGAGGTAAGGCGTTCACTCAGCCCACAGCGGTTTTCTGGTGCCGGTGGTGCAGACCGCACCCCAGAAGTCAGGTTATGTCACCCAGAGTGATCGGCGTAGTAATGGGGGTGGCACAGGGACACTAAACCTGGCCCGCAGGGGTTGAGGAGTCTCCCGAGGAAACAGCTCACACCGCATCGCCTCTGACCGGGTAGCCTGCCACCGGAACCCACAGACCAGGTCCCCTGCCCCCAAGCCCAAGGGTCCAGCTCTCCTCCCCGAGACCTGCCCCATCTTCACGCCCTGCTGCCTGGAATCTGAGGCGGCCCTTGTTCTCTGGCAGGAGGGGAATTTAATGCCGCTGAGGGATGGCAGGTCGACAGGCAAAGAGATGAAAGTGTCCTCTCTGGCAGCTGGGTCAGCGGCCTCAGGGAACCCTCATGTTCCCTCTCCGTCCTTCCCAGCCATCTCCTTTCAGCGCTAGGAAGAGCCTTCAGAGGGCCCTCAGGGGGCTGTGGACCTCCGGGACAGGGCTCCCTGCAGGGCGGGGTGACCTCTGGGGGAGGGGCAGCTGGGCCTCTCCATGCGTGTTACCTGCCTGCAGGGTGCCTGGGCCAAGGTCTGTATTATTAACATGCCGGTGCCTGCCCCATCCCTCCCCCAGCTCGGCTGTCGTCAGCATCGCCTGTCGGCAAAGGGCTGTGGGTGGGCGGCGGGGGGCTGTGGCTGGCTGCACAGTGACCTCCATCCACACATCCATCTCTAGCACCTGGGAGGGAGTGGGAGCTGATGTTGCAATCAGGTCAGGCTGAAGCAGCCTTGACTACAGCAGTCGTGGCCATTACCACCTCCTTTATTCCCACAGCAGAGCTAGGCTCGGCCTGGGAATAAAGACTGGGACCCCGAGCCAGAATCCAGCACTTGGGCCACCAACTCCATGTCCCCACTGGAGATGCTGTTAAGTCTTGGCACTGCGAGGTGACCTTGTCCTGTGAAGTACCCTGTCAAGTGCCCCACCCCACAACCTCTGGTTGTTGCCCTTCTCGGGAAGAGAGGCAAGGGCATCAAGGGCACCAGCACGCACGTGTGCATGCACACGCAATGTGACTTTGACACATGGTGACCAAGAAGAGGACCAATGTGCCTAGATTCCCAGACCGCCGTTCCCTTCTCCCTGAGGACACTGACCCTTCCAAAGCAGCCTGATGCAGGGGCCGGACAGCCAGGAGCCACGTTCTAATCGGGGCTCTGCTACCCTCTTGCTCTGTGGCTTGGACATGTCACATACTCTCTCTGGGCTTCAGTTTCTCCTCTGGAAAACAGGTGGTAATCCCTACCCTGATGACTTTCTGGAGCCAAAGAAGCAAACTTATTCAACAAATTAAAACTATCCCAGGCTGAAGACATTCTCCAACTAGCCTGCGGCCACAGGGAAGTACCCACACAGAGAGCTTAGCTCCGCCCCACAATCACCCAGTACACTGCAGGAGCCGTCGCTTCCTTCTTCCTGCACAACATGACTGACCTCAGCAAGCTCATAGCAGAGGGTCAAAGGCCCAGTCTGGTGTGTTGAGTCAGGCTCAGGGCATGAGACAGGGGCCCCAGTCCAGGCGGGGCGATAAGGGCAGCAAGGGACTAGGTCAGGCCGATCACCGCTGCTGTGGGGAGGAGGGGGTGCCTGGTAGACACTGGGCAGGCTGGGGTGGGGGAGGCCTTTGGCGGTCACAGAGAACAAAGAGGCTGGGGTTGCCAGGATATTCTGTGGAGCTGAAGCCCTGTGGTGGGGCTGAAAGAGGGGCCATGGTAGCCGTGGGAACTGTGTCTGCTACCCCCACGCCAGCTCTCCCACCCAGACTGGGCCTCAGGGCGAGGCTGGGGTAACAGGGGCTGTCGGAGCCCCGGCTCTGTCCTCAGAGTTGCATGGCTGTAAGGGACGAGAGCCAGGAAATGCTGTAGACAAAGATACACAAGGCATATAGTGTCAGCTTCACTGAGGGTCCCAGGTGCACACCAACATACAATGTCATGAGCACACACCCAGAGTTAGATGGGCAATGTCACAGGATCACAAGCCAGCATCACACAATCACAAAGAATACTTAATGGCAGTCCCAGACAGTGTCACAGACCACATAGAGTCATCCAGTGTCTGTCATAGGGATAGGGTCTTGCACACCATGCGTTGTCGATGCTGCATATCCCATGTCACATGTAGAATCACTCAGTGTCACACATTCTGTTGCATCACACTCGGTCTGTTACAGAAGTGTACACCGTCCCAGGATTACACGTGCAATGTCACAGAACATCCTGGTGTGGCCACTGACATCATATACTAACCCGGGGCCCCAGGAGGTCTCACATCATAGTCTACCACACATTGTCACAGACCCATTTTCATGTCACAGTCACATTGCTGCACAAGGCCTCGCATGGTTGTCAGGGCCTTGAAGCATCTCTCTCTCTGACACACTCACACACGAGGCTGCGCAGAGGCTGGGTTGTCTCCAGTCACATGTGTGCTTCCAACCTATCACACCGCTCCCTGCCGCCCAGGTGAGGGCTCCTGGGTCACTAGGTCAGGCTCCTAGTGAAGCCGAGTGGTGCTGAGGGCCCCTCCCAGGGAAGGGAACTGGGCACGCTTCCCCACGGGGGAGCCCTCCTCTAAGTCCTTCTCTGCCAGACAGGAGAGCAGCAGGGCTGAGTCTGCAACAGAAAGGTGCAGAGGTGCAGGACACAGAGAGGAAGCGGCGTGAGAGGCGTGGAGACTCAGAGACACAGAGGAGTCAGAGACCATCAGGAGAGACGGCTTTAGACCCCGTGAGCCGGAGGACCGGGCAGAGGCAGACAGGGCTGGGGAGGGGGTGGAGCTGGGGCGGCTGGGTTTTTAGGGAAGACGCGCACCCTGGGCAGAGGGTGGGGGACATCTTAGTAAGACTCAGGTGAATTGTTTTAAAACAGCTGCTATTGACCAAGCACTTAAGATGAGCCCGGCCCCTCCCTAGAGTGATCTCATGTCATCCTCAGGCAACTTCATGGGAGAAAGACTATTATTGTCCCCGTTTCCCAGTTGAGGTAACTGAGGTCTCATCATGTGTTTCGTTCAGCCTCAGAGCTATCCCCACCTCTGCCGGGCCTCCTCCGGACAGAGGGACATGTCTAACTTTTGCACAAAGCAGAGCCCAGGAGGCTGAAGTTGGAAGAGGTGCGGGGCTTCAAGCTTAGAGCTTCTCTGTATCGGGGTGTGGGGTGGGCCCAGGAGCTGTATGGCTGGGCTGCAAGTTGGCACACTACAAGGTACAGACTGGCTGAGTCACGGCACACCCCGCCTTGGGGCTGGCACCGGAGCCGTCCACCCCACACCTGCAGGCATGCCAACAAGGGCTGGCCGAGGCCATCTGCAGCCTGTGTGTTGCCAGCAACCAAGTGGGGGCAGGCAGGGGCCTCCTGCCTAGGTGCTCCCAGCTGGCCAGGCTTCCACCCCCATACCCCCAAGGAGGACCCTCTCTGCCCCCTGGAGGTTCTGAGGTGCTTCAGTTTGCCTTCTAAAGGGGATGAGGGTGCCCCCCCCACCCCGGCTTCAACACCTCCCCCTACTTCCCGCTGGACGCCCCGTTCGGCAGAGCCGCCTGGAGAGATCACAGGCAGCCACATGAAAGGGAATTTTTCCCAGGCAGAGATGGAGTTGAAAGCTGCCTCCCACCGCCCCCTCCTGCCCCTGCTGTGTCAGGCCAAGCTGCTGAGCTCCTGGTGCTGGAAAGGAGCTTGTGACACAGGGGAAGGGGTTGAGGGTCAGAACCCCCACCCAACATGGCTGCTTCCTCTCCTCCCAGAAACAATGACAAAGACGTCCTGACTGCACACCTCTCTGCCCACTCAGCTTCCGAAGTTGCCCCTCCTCTCATCCCGAAAGCCCTCGCCCACCTGAAGCCAGGCCCAACATCTTCAGGAAGTACCTCCTCAAGTCTAGCCTCTGTCTCAACCAGACTCAAAGCAGCTGGGTAGGAAGAAGGCCTCCCTATCAAGCAGATGATAGGCCTTACCCTTCAGGCCAGCCTCTGCCACGCAGGGGGCTACCCTGGCCAGACCACGTGGCTCTGTGGGTGCCTTCCCCAGTCCTCTGAGGTCCCAGACAACCTTGTGCCAACAGACTTTCTTAGGGTTGGGATAGTCACAAGAGACAAAGCCAGGAATAGCCTGGGCCCCACTCCAAGAGCCCTCAGGCCTAGAGAGGGGTATATGGGGGTCTCTGTGTCCATGCTGGGTACAGCCAGGTCCTGGTGAACCTGAGCTAAAACTGTTCCCTGGGGACTCACTTCAGTGATTGGGGGAGCTCTAGATCCCTGCCAGGAAGGAGAGATAAGAACCTGAACAGGCAGCCCAGGCCCCACCCTGCTGGCTGCTCTGCACTGATCAAGTGCTGTTGGTTTTAGGTGAAGAAAAAGTGGCCCCAGGTGAATGAAGGTCCCCCAGGGTCTGAGGTGGAGGTACAGACAGGCAGGTGAGGTGCTGTAGCAACAGCCACTGCCCAAGTAACAAGCGTCTCTGTGCTGCTGTTCGGGCAGGCTGCTGTTGCTTGCCCCCCTTGTGGATCCAGACGGTGTAATTTCTCAAGAGATCCCCCCTCTGAATGTCCCTGGGTGATTCTTCCTCCTCCCCAAAGTGGTCCCAGACAACCCCTGCCCAGTAACAGCCCCCAAAACCGGAGCGCAAGAAGCCAGCAGTGCTTCGTGACACAAACATGCATTTGTTTTATTCACAAAACAGCCTGGTTTCCTAAAACAATACAAACAGCATGTTCATCAGCAGGAAGCTGGCCGCGGGCAGGGAGGCCCAGGCCGAGAGGGACCCCCTGGGCACCCACCCCCACTGGCAGGGGACCACCCAAAGAAGCCCTTTCTTCTGTTGCCACCAGCCACGTGGGAAAAGAAGGGACTTGTTTTCTCTAAGGGAAGTAGCCAGGATCAGGACTGTCCAGACCTGGCTCCCCAGATCTCAGTGGATAAACAAACAGAACTTCCATTTTTGCAGAATCACTGTTGGGGTGGGGGGGGTCCCATTGCGGGGACTGTGGGTGTAGCACACCTGGCCTGGGCCCGGGGGGCCGGGGGGTCTGCTCCCTCCCCTTCCGTGAGCTCCTCGAGGCAGCTCTGCCCACGTGGATGGATACAGAGGGGCTTCAACACGGCGCCATCGACATTCTCTTTATAAACGTGAGTGGGTTCTCCAGGCAAACTATGCACTATTTCATGGTCAGAAAGAATCAAAGGAAGTTTAAATGAGGGTGGAGTTAAACTGTGCTAAATTACAGTAGTGCTTATTAGTAACTAGATTTCAAAAGGTTACAGAAAATTTACATTCTCTACACAAAACTGCATCTCCTGCACAGACAACATCAACATCGACACGGGAAGGAAACTGATTGTCCATTCTTTGCCCAGGAAGTCTCGGTACTTTATAGATTCGTCTTTACCTCTCTTTTTGTTGTTCTTCCGAAAAAGCAGTTAAATTTTTTTTTCTTTTTCTTTTTATACTAGGGACGTGGAGATGTTAAAACGACAACAAAAAATATATATAAAAACAGGAATGAAATCTGTGAGAGAATATTTTTGGTTCTAAAGACGGGTGCAGCCGTTTGTCTTCGCCCGAATCCCTTGCCGGAGACCACGCGAGCAGTGACATTGCACGGAGAGGGCAGCTTTGGGTTCCCGCCGCCGTCACTGAAACCACCGGAAGGCGGCTCCTGTCGGAAGCATTACCTTCTGGCGGGGGCGGGAGACAAAAACAAGGAGAGAGTTCAGTCAGGGTCCGGCTGAGCCTGGTGCAAAGACGTTCCCCGTGGCCGGTCTCATGGTGGAGGGATGGGCATGGAGTAAAGGCAGCCAGCCACCCTGTGGAGTTCCGCCATCCTGGCCAGGCCAGAGAAGGAGCCTTGACCTACTGGGTCGCTGAAGGGCCTGGAGTTCCCTGAGGCCCCCTGAGCCACTGTGCCCAGGAGCCCTGCTTCCAGACAGGAATACCCTTTCCCTTGGTCCAAAGGCCACAAGCGCCAGGCAGTTGTGGGGCATCTGGGAGCTGTTTGCACGTTTCTGTCGAATGAGCGTGTAAGCACGTGCACTGGACACGTTTTTGGATGTACGTCTTGAGCTCCACTACAGTGTACGATGTGTTTGGAGCTGTGGTGGGTGGGAAGGATACCTGCTGTTTATTAAGAGGCTACGTCTCTGTGCGCTGGGCAGGGTGCGTCTGCGCCAGACCAGAGTGGGTGCCTTTGTGTGCGTACAGGTGTGTCCTCTGGGCAGGAGAGCAGATGTGTGAGGTCTGGGGCTCGGGGGCGGAGAGCCACGGCTGGGATGCCATTAATTGTTTTCCAACAATTCTGGACATTTGCATCAAGCCCACTCATAGAGGGGTGGGGACAGGGCAGTGACAGCAGGCTGAAAAGATGCTTTTGTACCCAGGCCTGGCACTACAACTAGGCTGCCACAGCTGGGGGCACGGGGACAGGCCCAGCCACGAGGTGGAGGGAAAGCCACGTGGGAACCAGCTGGCCTTCTCTAAGCCAATCCCAGAGTGAACAGGCTTTGCCCACATCCCGGGTTCACCCCCTAACTCCAGGCCCATAGGATCCCGAGCCATTAGCTGTGCAACCAGACTGATCTTGGGGCCCCCGGACGCCCCAAATCTGTCAGCTAGGTGCCTAGACCCAGGGTTTTCCAGGCCTCAGAGCAGAGCTGTCAGCACTGGAGCTGCTTTCGCCTTGGGCAGCCTTGGAAAAGGCTGGGCTCTGAAGCGACGAGTCGAAGGGTTACCTCTCAAAGCCGCAGGGCCCACAGAAGAACCGTCAAACAGGACGGGGGAAGAGTCCCAGAACCTTAGGTCACGGAGAGGAAGCTTTAGGACATGTGTGAAAGCTGGAGACTTGGGATGTGTATGGGAATCTCAACACCTGACCTGGAGTTCCAGAAGGGTGTTCAGAATGCTAGGGTCCCGGCTGGGATGCTAGGCCTCTGCCTGGAGTTTTATGCCTGCCTTGCAAACTACAACGTAACAGGATGTCAGGATGTGGCTCTGATTTGGGGGGCAGTGAGCCGGTGTCTCAAAGGCTGGCCTACAACCCCAGAGCCCAAGGTTTGGCTGGGTTTCCCCCAGACCCACGCGCAGGCAGGAAAGGTGGGGCTGGGGGTGGGTTTGGACTGCCAGACAGACACAAGAGCCCACACACCTCCCTCTAAGGCGCCGTTACCTCCAGAGCAGCGGAAGGCTTCTTTTTGAGTTCCTCACATTTTCTGAATTTGCAAATCTGATGGCCAGTCTTTCGGTTCCTACAACTGCTGCACTGCTCGCAGTTGATGCGCCGCCGGCAGGGCGGGCACATGCCGCAGCGTTTCCTCTTCTTCTTGCCCGAGCTGATAGCTGAGGCCAGCTCACCCTGCATGGGGTACTCGGCCAGGCCCGCCATGTGCAGCGCGCTCTCGGCCAGGAACACACCTGCCGGGGTCATGATGAAGAGGCCTGGGTTGATGGGGAAGGCGCCCAGGTAGGGGAAGTCGGACTGGCCATTGAGGGCTTCAGCACCCGCCACAGCCTCCATGTCGGGCAGGCCTGCGCCAGCCTCGCTCATCAGCGGTAGGTGCTCCTGCACCACGCGCTTCAGCATCTCCGTGGACTGTGCGAACTGCTGCAGCGTCAGCTGTCCCTCGGCTGCCAGCTCCGTGGCCCGCTCAGCCTTGCTCAGCAGGCTGGCCACAGCACCACTTTTGTGCTTTGAGGTAGGGTTGCTTTTGTCCAGAGCCATGGCTGCCGCCAGGTCGTGCCCATTGGCCAACAGGGAGGCAGCGGCTGCAGCCGCAGCAGCCTTTTCGGCAGACTCCCCGCCCATCATGCTGCCACCGCCACTGCCCCCGCTGCCTCCAAAGGAAGAGTAATGGGAGAGAGGGCGGGAGCGACGCAGGCTCTTGTTGAGGGGTTCACTGATGATGCCACTTTTGTTCCGACGTTCGGGGGGCGGTGCGTCATCTGCCACTGAGGCTGGTGCAGCAGCAGCCACCGCTGCACTCTTGTCAGCCACTCCGGCCTTGGAGCCACTGCCACTGCCACTGCCGCCATTGGCATTGTTGCTACTGCTACTGCCGCTGGTGTCCTGGGAGCCACTGCTGAGGCTCGACATGGTGGGGCCGAGGCCCAGACCCCGCTGCTGGGGGAACCTGCCAACTACTGAGGGTCCTCAGGCAAGCACTGGGCCCTGCTGCCCACAACAGAGATGCCTGGTGGTCCTTGATGCTCAGGGCAGGCACATGGTCCGGCGTCCACGTGGAAGTGTCTTCACTCTGTCAGGACAAGAGGACACAGGGTCAGGGCAGTAGTGAACACTGCCTCCTCTACCACCAACCATATTGCCACTGTAACCACCACAAGCCCGACTAGTTAGTTTTTTAGTATGTGCCGGCCCCTACCCGCCACCCCTCCTCATTAGGAATTCTTCGTTTGTACTATCTCAGTTGAGACTCACAAGAACCCTGAGAAGCGCTGGCCAGTGACACCCTACGATTTTATAGATGAGGGAGAAATGACTAGCTCATGGCTACACCACGTGGCTCTGTTTGCTCGCCACAGCCAGAACTGCCCTTGAGGTAGGTTTACTTTTGTCCACAGCCATGGCTGCCGCTAGGTCATGCCCACTGACCTGATGGAGGCAGGCAGTTCTTCCTGGGCTAAGAGGAGAGAGCTGGAGATGTTTGCTAATCTTGCTTCCCTGACCCAGCTACGGAGAAGAGGAGTTGGAAAAGCCTCTGGAGGGAAGATCAACAGAAGGTGTCGACCATGAAGCACGGAAAGCTGCCCCTGGATCCTCATTGGCTATTCCTATCCCACATCAATGGTCTCAAGGCTCTGGGAAGTCCTGCAGGTAAAGGAAATTTTAGATTTGTTTTTGTTTAAGAGTCTGCCATTCGTTTTTGTTTAAGAGTCTGCCAAACAGCTCACAAATCTCATTTCAAGGAGCTTGAACCCTGCTGCTAGAGGGCAGGTGGGATATGGTGCCAGAGGACAAGCCTTTGCCTGCAAGCGTGGGGGACACACTTGTGCACACATCGGCGTGCATTTCCTTCTCACTCCGACCTCGGACTCCACTCTTCTCTCTATTCAGGCCTCACTGCTGTGCTTCTGCTTGGCTCCCAGACGGACCCGGGTGTGGGTAGGAGAAACCTCTGGCTGGTGCAAGTTGGAGCTGAGAGTAGATGTGACCCTTCCCAGGAGAGAGCCTGTTCTGCTCGGGCCCCAAAGCGAAGGCACGTGAGCAGCCAGGCTGCTTGGCCGGGAGCTCTGGGAGGAACTTCCAGATGCAGCGGAGTGGCAGTTTCCTCATCAGCCCTGGCTCTCTAGCACTCCTTCCCTGTCTGCTTGCCTTGGCCCAGCAACCCCCAGGAGAGAGGCGGGAGGACAGGGCCCGGCCCAAGCAGCTGGCCGCTCAAGGAGGAGGCACACATCTGGCTGGGCCTGTCCCGCCCTGGGCTTGGGGGCAGCACACACTGCATCTTTGTCCCCAGGCAACCCCACCACCCCCCAGTCACAGGACTCAGCCTGTCCTGGAAGGTCATCTAGTCCAACCCTCTGCACTTACCGAGGGGGGCATTGAGGCCCCAGGCAGGCAGAGTCCCTGCCTCAAGACTGCTAAGGAGTGGGAACAAGGGGGAGAGAGTGTAGGCAAGGGAAACACTCTGTCTCCAGGATGAGGCGAGTGGCACGCGTCAGCAGAAAACCACTCCTTGCCCTGCCCTAGCGAAAGCAGATGAATGGTGAGAAGGAGCTGGGCACGCTGGCAGATTCCACCGGGACAAACCAAGGAAGGCCTCTCCTGGCTAGGCTTCAGACACCATGGACATCAGGGTTGTTGTAGTAAGAGGAAGCAGGTCATGCATCCCCAAGGACAGCTGTGCTCCACCCTACCTCCTAATGGCCAAGACCAGGCTGGCTCTGTGGCTTTTCTCCTCAGAGATCAGAATTCCCCTCCAGGCAGCAGTGACCCTGGTTGGGTGCTGGGGACAAGGGCAGCTGAGATCAGGCCCAGAGACCACAGCTCCAAGTCAACTCACCCAACCCTGCCTATGTGAGCTCAGCGACCCAGCCCCAGGCTACATTCCTAGCAGCCCCAGACAGGAGAAGGCAGGCGCCCTAGGGTTGGAGAGCTGGGGAGGGGAGCAGTCTGCGCCCCAGCCCCTGTGCGTGTCCCCCGCCTCTGCGGCCTGCTGGCTGGTGGCAGAAATCGATAGCGGCATTAACTCTGCTCTTGCTCAACTCCCCCTCCCTCTTCCCAGCTCCAGGATCTGGCTCTGTGTGCGGGGCTGGCAGGTCAATTAGAAGTCAGCTCCCTCCGACACAGCCCGGCCTGCGTTCAGGGCTAGCGCTCTGGCTGAACCTCTCTGCTTTTGTCTCCTTCCTGAGTCTCTCATGGTGGGGACCAAACCTCACGTTCTGTTCAGCTCAGGCCCATTCTTTGAATCTCTATGATCTTCCATTTTTCTGTCCTTCCTCAGGAACGACCCTCTCCCAGCCCTCCAGGTCCTGGGACACGCTGAGCTCAGGACCAGAGGACGTGATGTGTCATTGAACAGGTGCTGCAGACAGAACACTGCAGTTCGTCAGCCACAGACACTGAAGGTGGGGGGTATACACAAGGGGGACTGGCATCCAGGGCAACTGTCCTCAAACGAACATCTTGGTCCCCAAGGCCCTGTCCCTAGGATGTTCCAAATACGTCCGTGTACCTGACTCATCTTCTCCCCCAGACCCTGGAAAAAGCCGATGCCCTGGTCCCAGTGGACCCCTGACCGCAGGACCCATTTGCCCGAGTGATGGAACAGGAAGACATAAAAAGAAGACCATCTCCCAGGCCTCAGCCTTCTATTACAGGGCACACAGCAACCCTTCCCAGGCCAGGAAGGGCCTGGCAGTGCCAAGGCAGCAGGGGAGGAGCTGGGGCTGCGTTGAAGCGGAGCGGGAATGAGCGGGAGGGAAAGCTGGCGGGCAGGCGGGCGGCGGCGGGCGCATCCATCATCGGCCCTGCCAGGAACGCATCCAGCCCCCAAAAAGAAATACTGCGCCTGAGGAGGGACAACAAAGGGCTCCGTTTCATCAGCAATGTGGAGCCAGCGCCCCGCCGCCCCGCCAGGCGCGGTCAGGCCACAAAGGACCCCTTTGTCCGTGCAGGAGCCGGGCGGCGGGAGCTGGGACCAGGGGTTGACGGGCGGGGGGGGGGGGCGGGAGTGGGGGCGACCACTCTTAGAGAGTTGGGGGGCAGAGGGGGATATGGGAGCAGAAGGAGACAGGTGGTGGGGGCCAGAGGATCATGAAACAGAACCGGAGGGGTGGGTCAGAGAAGAGGATGTGGATAGAACAGGGCAAAGGGTCAAGGATGGAGGACACAACATCATGGGAAGCAGACACTGGGGGGCCGGGTTCAAAGAGACCTAGGGCACTAACTTCAGTCCGGGAGACATGAAACCAGAGCCCTGGGGGGAGAATCCCAGATTCAGGGACCTGGGGACCAAAAGACATACCCCACAGGTGAGGGAGGCAGAGGGGGAGGTTTGGGGGACACCGGATGGGACCCACCTCCCTAGGGCCCCATTCTGGCCTGAGGCCCCAGGGCCTGGTCACGGGGCCCAACTTCCTGCGGGCTCCAGCTCACTGGCCGAGCGAGGCACAGAGGGAGAGTCAGAGCTGGGGCCACTTTCCCGACGGTGGGGTCGTGCTCTGCCCCTAGCTCCAGCCCTGGTCAGCAGCCAAAGGCGCAGACCCTGCCCTCCTCCAACCAGTTCCTGCCCCCGAGTGACACGCTGGCTCCCTTAACTGGCTGACGGCCGCTATGAGCTAGCATTTACTGAGCACCTGCTGCGGCCCAGGCTCCGTGCTCTTCTGCTCTACTCATCCCCTCTCGTTTCTTGACTCCTTCCCAGAACCTGGGAAACAGGAACCATTAACCGATTTTGGAGAAGACAAAATGGCAGCGTGGAGAGGTTCACGCTGCCTGGACAAGGTTAAATAGCTAGTGCTCTTTGAGGTGGCACTTGAACCCAGAGCTCAAGTGTTAGCTGCCACCCTGCCCTGGTGACCACCTCTGCTCACCTTGGCAACTGACTAGCCCAGGGCAAGGTGACCCAGCCACCCTGAGACTGACTGCCCCCAACCCCTAGAGTTGTTACCGTGCCTGTCACCTTTACATGGTCGGGGGCAGGCTGTCACAGACCCCAGGGGAGGACCCCCACCTGGGGGAGTTGGAAATATCCAGGTAGGAACCCAGAATGCTGGGCCAGTGACATCATAATGACAGTGAGGTCAGGAGAGGTGGCAGCCTTCACTTACCTCCACTCCACCCTCAGCCCCAGACGAGCCGGGATTCACCCCCAGTAGGGCTCTGTCTTGAGACCCTGGAGCAAGCATGGGGGTGGGGCACTGTGGGGTGGGATGGTGCTGTGAGCACGTAGACATGCAGACTGTGGCCCACGGAGAGATGTGGTCCCATGACCTGGGTCACACACAGCCCCAGAGCCACGCAACAGCAGCCCCAGGCCCTAAGCAACTGGGAGACCGAGTCGGACACAGGTCCTCCTGGAGGGGTACACAGGAACCGGGCCACCTGATGTGCAACAACAGCAGGAAGGGAACCAAGGAGGGCATGGGGTGAAGGACTGTCTTGAAGGAAGGGACCACCAGCCTGAGAGTTAAAGAGTGAGGAGAGGTTCCCAGAGGGGACACCAGCCGAAAAGGGTCCCTAAGAAATGGAGAAGTAGGTGCAAGGTGTGCATGCAAGCCTGGCAGGGTCTTAACAGAGCAGGGCTTTGAGACCAAGGGCAGCAATTTTTTAAACAGCTTTACTGAGATATAGTTCACCTACTATAAAATTCAGCCATTTTTAAGTGGCTGAATAATTCAACAATTTTTAGTAAATTTACAGAGTTGGAGAACCATTACTACTACCAAGGGCACAGTGTAAGCAAGGGGCCAGCCCCTACCCCCTCCTTCTTTTGTGGGCTGGAGCAATCTCCCAGCCGTCCCTCCTGCTGAGGGGAGGCCCCCTGGAGGAAGCTGCGTTTCCGGGGAATCTTCCAGACCCTGAGGCACTAGTGCAGGGGAGCAGGAGCTGCCACAGCCTGGGCAGACCAGCTGTGCAGACCCGCACACCCTGGCTCATGGGACCCTTCCTCCGCAGTTCCATGTTCACTCCCAACATCCCTCCTCCACCCACTTACACTCCTCCACCCACCTTGGTGGGCTGGTCTCCCTGGCTTCCAAGGGCGGCAAGATGGACAGACGGATTAATGGCAGGCTGGCCAGTGGTGGCAGGGAGGGTAGACCACAGGTTATAGTGGTTGAACCAAGCTGAGCAACTGATGTGTGTGTGTGTGTGTGTCTGGGGGTGTTTCCATCTCTGATTTCCATGATTCAGCCTGGGGAGTTTCCAGAGGGAACAAAGCCCCACTCAGACCCAAGGAGATGCACATGGGACACTGGCCTTGGAGGCTGGGGGACTGCAAACCTGGCCACAGAGCACGTATCCAGCTATGGATGGACACACATACACGCTACGCACACAGCAGGTGGCCTGGGGTGGGATGTGTCCTCAATACCACTAGGGTCTCCCCAAGACCACTACCCTAAAGGTGACTGCCAAAGACAGAAACTGGGGCTGCTGGGGGGCCTGCGTCATGTCTCCTGGACTCCATACCCTGTGACGCTCTCACACCCCTTTGCCCAGGGCAGGCACCACCCCCTTGCCTGGGACTGAAACATGCTGCTGGGAAAACCCCAAGAGTACGTGGGGCTCTGTCAGTCCTCAGAAAACTCCCAAAACAGCTGGAAGGGGGGGAAGCTCATCTGAGGCACAGGAACTGCGGCAGGTGG